TGCTGCTGCTGCTGCTGCTGCTGCTTGTTGTTGTTCGAGGCGGACGAGCCGGAGCCGAACGACCACGAGATGGGGAAGACACCGTCGTCCATGTTGCCGTTGTTCAGGGCGGAGAAGAGGCTGGTCGACATGTCGAGCGAACCCCAGCTGCAGCCGGGGCAGAGGTCGGCGACCTGGGCGGTCTGGGTGTTGCCGTTCTTGTTGTTGGTGATGGTGACGGTCTGACCGCAGTGAGCACCGCCGGCCCACTCGGGAGCGTTCATGGCGACGATGAAGTCAGAGCCAGAGTTGGTCCAACCACAGGCACCTGTTGTGAGGAGAATAGGTAGGAAGGAGGTGTGATCGTGGTCAGCTGCTGTGCCGGGGCAGTGAGAACAACAAATGCAGGCTCGCAGGAGGAGTACTTACCAAGACCAGCGGCGTAGTAGGTGGCCTGGCCGCTCGAGCGCTTGGCAAGAGGGGCGGCGGCGGCGCCAGCGGCGGCGAGGGCGATAGCGAGGACGTTGGAAGCGATCATGGTGAAAGAGGGATAAGGACCTGTGGGAGTAGGTAGAGAGATGAGATGGAAAGGTTGATGGGGGATGAGGACGATACGGCTCGATAGGGTGACCTTTTATGGGAGGTTCCGAGTGCGGACCGGTTTGCAGCGTTCCATGCTACAGGTTCACGCTGTACGAGGGGAGAGCAGGGTACGATGTTCCTAGCATTTGCCGAAGCTGGGAAAGGCGGCATGAAGCACAGAAGCTGTCTCCTGACCGGGGGCAGGCGTTCTCTACGGCGAACAAAGGGGGCCGAAGAGGCGGATCGACCGTGTCGGGCTCATGGACGTCGCAGATCCAAGAAATGCCCGTGACACTGCTGATTTGGCCGAAGGTGGCGGGGTACGAGAGGAGGATCGACCAGCGTCAAGGGCAGACAGGGGCCCTTGGAACCGGTGGACCAAGTCTAGGGACCAGAGCTGCTCAAAGTTTTTTCCTAGCAGGATGAACCCTAGAAAATGGAGCGAAAAGGAGGGGAGTACATGCCACAGTGCGACCGGTCAAGGCGGCGAGGTAGCGACGAGCAGGGTCCACGGATCGTGCATATCGAGCTCAGCAGCCAAGAAGGGGAGAAGTTAGAAGGTAGCACCCCGAAATTTTGGAGCCGGCGCCAGCGACGACGACGGAAGGACTGCGTGGCCTGAGTGCACCGAGACATCGCCGTTGCGGTATCCGACAGGGACGGCCAGCCGGGTCAACAAAGGGGACGCCACCAGACGGCGGCGTGAAGCCAGTGCCGACGGACAGACAGGGAGCTGCACTGACTGGAATCGGAGCCGCAGCCACGCTAGACACTCGCATTTGCTGCCGTTCTCGGGCAGATGGATGCGGCGGCAGCCCAAGTAGGCAGGTCTGGTCGGCGTTGCTTGACAGACCTCAGCCGGCGCCGCTGGAAATTGGGGGTGCACTCAGCGGCATTTCCAGAGGCCACGCGACCATCATCGCGTGCCAGGAAAAAGAGGGGACACCTCGCGCGTCGGCTTGAGCTCGCACCGGTTTCAGCGAATTAATTGTTTTTCATTTTCAGATTTTGTGGAAAATGGATTCGTGTGAAATCGCCTCTCTGCCTCTTTCCAACCTGTCTCACGCTCGCAGCTCTTGGGAAATCCGACGCGAAAATTTTGTTGACGCTGCCTTTTTTTCTGCCTTGGCTCAACCTCGGATTTCGCGAAATTCCTGATTGAAATTGCGAAATTTCGCCTTTTTTTAATTCTTTTATGTTGGAGCCGGGGCTGCGGCCTCGCGATCTGCTCAGTCGGAAGCGTGGCAATCCGAGGGATCGACCAATGCTGCCTCGCTTAGGCCTCCTAGCGGCGATCTCCGCGAAGCTTTTTTTCGGCTCTCAGCCGCGCCAGTGCAGTTCATGCGCACAGCGAAGCCACCGTCAAGCCACGCATGCCCTCCTGTGAGCTCGTCTAGCTGGGAAACAAAGGATCGACCAGAGGTCCTCACTGATCAGTGCTCACCAGTGTCAGGCCGAGCTAAACTCAAGGTGGCCCGGCCAGGCTTTGTTCGTCGAGCTCGGTGAACGCTCGGCCGCACCAACGATTGACCCCATTCCTTGGGTATGAGAGTACCCCGCTCGACCGGCCTATTTCTTCATCTGCCAGTATGGCTCGACTTGCGCTTCTCATCTTATTATAGTTCATGTGCAGGTTGCTGGGTCATGCCGGCTTCGACGCAAGGCCAGATGAAGTTTGTGACACACGGCGGCAGCCAAAGCAAAAGGCGCGGCACCGGCATGCAAAGGGAAGGTCCCAGCTTGGCGAGCAGGTTAAAGCGTGGGAGGGTCGGGGAGCTGCGGTATGCAGGCTAGATTTCTGATCGAGCCGCCCTCGATGCAGGCGCAAGGGCAGCGTTGTGCGCCCGACCAGGCGCAAGGAGCGGTTGCAGCGCCAACGTCGAATCCCAAATTCGACCAATTTTTAGAGGATTGGGCCACTGCAGACGGCGCAGGATTTCGGTTCAGATTCGTGTTCCTGTCTTGGCTGCAGCCCACGCAGGAACGAGGGTCGTCTCTTGTCGGTCGGTGAGACTGCAAGCAGCGCGACTGCGGCACCGGGCTCTGCATCAGTGGACAGGCTGCGTCAGATAGTGCCCCTGCTGCCCCTGAGTCGACACCATCGCGTCCCACGACCCCTACATGGACCCGACATGTCAGTTGGCCGCTCGACCCTGTCGATCGCATGGCTCAGCATGCTCGTGACGTGCGAAGCCCCTGACCTTCGATCAGAGTCGCCTTTGCTCTAAGATCACGCCGCCAATTTCGCAGCTACTATGGCCAAGCAGGAGCAAGCCTAGCTTAGAGAAGTTCGCACATTATTCTCCCCGCGTCACCTCGTCAATGGGTGCTTTGCTGTATCGGAACGATGATGTGCGATTTCGGGCTGTAAATGGGCCTTTGCGGGCCAACCCTTTGTGCACAGCTGGTCGCCAAACGCTGCGGCGAATACAGTGGTTTATTCGATATTCCCACACTCGAGTCGGTCTGATTGCGGCCGGTGACCATGGACGGTCAAAATAGTCCCCTCGTTCGTGCCGTTGCGCCGGCGCGTTGCCTTCCGCATGCCGTACGCAACCGGCACGTGCTGAGCGATACTTCTACGCGGCCGCTCCATCGGTCTGAGACCGCTGGGGCTCAGGGTTTGGTGTGTGTCAACCTAACGAGTTTGGCTTTGCCGGATCTCATCGCTGCTCTGTCGTGCTTCGGTGCTTTCACAGCAACAACTCACTCAGTTTTCATCTGGCTTGGCGCCGTCAACGCCGAGCATAGCCAGCGGGTGAACATCGGATCGATTGACAACGCTCAGAGGCTCGCCATTGTGTGAAAAAGGCCGGATTTCGTGGCTGGGAGCGGCGACTTTGTGAAATCGTGGCTTGGATGATCGACTCGGAGGATTGAGCCAGAAGAGCCCCACGCTGCCGCTTCCGCTTCCGCATCTCCAATCCAGAGGCCGGTCAGGTACGGCTGAGCAGCCTCGTGCCCATCGCCACTTCCAAGCGAGCGAGCCGACGCAAACGAAGCTTAAATTTATATTTGAAGATTTTCGGGGTGCGTCTCGTTGAACTGGCTGCAGCGCCGTTTTGTAGTGCCCCCACCACTTCAAATACAGTTGAGCCGCACTCTAGAGCGGGATGCTATGCCCGCGTGCGTTGACATCTCACCGCAGCTCGCTTGATCGGAGTGTGCTAATCATAGTCGTACTGTATTTGGGCACACAGCGAGCCGAGGCGTGAAGCGGATCGAGATTGCTCGGCTGGGTGGACATTGTTTTCGATGGAGGCGGATGACATCGGCATGCTGCTCAGCGAGGACAGAGCTGCGTCGTCAAAGCGCATTCATGGACTGCATTCAAGGCTCCGAATGGTGCAAAGCAGCCGGGCGAGAAGGCATTTGTTTAGCTCCCAGCGGGAAGAGAGTGGGTGTGCGGCATGCAGCGGAGAGCTGCCGCTGAAATGTGTTGCTTTCGGCCGGATGGGAAGTGCCAATAGCATTCTGTTCAATGTCTCGAGTGCTGGAGAGTGGAATGTTTGTGCCATTCTTCTAGAGACAAAGGCATTGGGACCGCCTGTCTCAGTTAGCGTGACAAACACGACTCGGCTGTACGCGAAGCGGACGCGTCCAGTTGAAAGCACGCCTGGTTCACAGAGCGAGCGGACGAAACGGCTCCGACCAGGATCTCGGCATCGGCGAGCTGCAACCAGACTAGCGGGTTGGCTCCTCGTGGCTGCTGCACGCACGCGGCTGATCTCGGTTGTGTGAATCGCCGGACAGGGGCGATGGGGCGCGAGGCTACAACGAGGGTGCGGGCTGAGCATGAAATTCTAGGGGACACTGAGAGCTTGGTCGGCAGCAATCGAGCCGTTGCGACCGCTTGCGGAGCAGCCACGGCCAGCCGCGTGGAAGCCCGCTTGATCGGCGACCTTGATTGTCGCCTTTTGCAACTCAGCTCTTCTTCTTCAGCCCTCAACCGAAGAAATCGCTGCCGTCGCCCGACCAGTGCGGCGTAAAAATGCAAGCCCTTTGAATTTGCCGAAGCCACTCAGTCTTGCTGCACTGGGCCCTGATTCGGATCCCGGTCCGACAAGCCAGCAGAGCGAAATGAGGGCCTTGTTTGACAGCTCCGCCTACCCATCGATCCAATCTAATCGCCCCCAATCGGCGCCCACCTCATCAATTTGACAGGGTTGCGTGGGTGTGTCACCACTCAAGATCACCCAAAAGGGCAGCATCTTCCCCGATAATCAATTCTTCTCACGCTCTCACTTGTCTGAGCCCACCGAAGCACCATCCGCACAGGTACAGACTCAGACCGCGATCTCCGATTCAGTTGGCCTGCTAGTTGATGTGATCGCGCAGAAGACCGGCATCTATGCTGCATCGGGTGAACACTCGCATCTGCTTCGGTCGTCTGCTTTCGCCATCGGTCCCAGCTCGACCGATCAGCAGAGTGAACACACCCCGCATTCTTCAGTCGGCCATTCGCTGCCAAGTGACGCCCAACACAACATCTACCTCGATCAGGCCGAGCAGGCTCGAATTGGCGGCAAGATCGGACGTGCCTCGGCAATGTATGCTTTTACGCTTCGAGCTACAGCAAATCAGAAACATACATCGAGGTGCCGCCGTTGAGACCCATTGCGTGAAAAAGGCACCGTCGGCTGCGCAGTGTGCCGAGCCATCTCGAGAGCTATTCTCCTGAAAGAACCGACCAGTCTTTGCGCGCCAAGCCGGCAAGGACGGCCACGGATGCAGCGGGTGCGTCTCTTTCGGCCCCACAAACTCGCGCGCTATCGGATCTCCCAACTTTCGCTTGATCCGCTTTGTAGATGCATCGGCCATCATCGGCTCGCTCTGCTTCGGTGTCGGCGGCCGAGGTGGCTGAGTGGAGCGGGCGAGCCGAGAGGAACGAGCAATTGCATGGAATCGAGGGGCCGTCCCTGGTATGGTAGCACGCTGCAGTATGCGGCTTTCAATCAGCCGCAAGCTCGCTTGCAGTGCGCCGTCGGGAGCGCTAGCTGAACGGCGTCAATTCGTGCCAACCATGTCTGGATGGCGGGAAGCTGCAGAGATTGGCCGTCCCGAAAGCAGGAACACGTACAACCGGTCGCGTGCATCGCCGCAAAGTGCTTCTGCAGCTAAGTTGGCTGAGCCACCGTTTCCAGGGTGCTCCTCTGTGGGAAAAGCAGGCTGCCATTCTTCCCAAAATCTCATGCCTCATCCTTGCGATCTTTCGCACGAGAAATCGTTTCGAAAGCCGGAAAAGTAAGAGGTGCGTGAAGGGTCCTGGCAGATCAGGATCGACGTTATGCATCAGCCGATCGGACGCCCACCCGCTTCCCACGCACGTTGGCCAGCCGCGCTCGATCCTGTCCAGTGGCACGACCTGGACGAACCTTGTTGGACATGACGATCGACATCGGTCTCAGACAAGAGAAACACTCGCAAGCACCTTGAACCGGTCCGACATTCACGTCAGCAGGGCTGAGATCGCGATCGCCGCCTTTGCACTCCCACGGTGACCGTGCATTCTCGCTTCGAGCCTCTCACTGGCCTTGCGACGTGCAACCACGAGGATCGACAAGCCGAATACAGAGCCGCAATCCACCTGTGTGGATGAGAAGAAGGATTGAGAGCAATCGTGATGCATTTCCGTCGCGATACAGTACTGATGCACGGACAAAAGTCTGGCAGGGCGGCGATCACAACGCATCAGCGGCCATGGCCGGCAACGACGAGCCTCCTCTGAATGCGCAGGATCTCCCTGCACAGCTCGTCGTGGCTCTTCTTGAGCGTCTTTGCGTCCTCGAACTTGCGCGCCTTGGCAGCACTCTCCACGTAATCTGCCACGAGCTGCTCCTGCTCGAGCAACACTTTGAGTTGCTCGCGCAGCTCGGCCGGATCCGCGTTCGCCAGCGCATCGTTGCCAGCTGAGCCATCGTCGTCGTGCAGCTGCCCATCTAGTTCCGCCTGCGCCCCAGCTCGCAGGGCGCCAGGCCCACCGCCTCCGCCAAACAGCGATCGGAAGGACGCCAACGAGCTCACCGAGGCTTTGTTAGCGTGCTGGGACCGTCGCGGTGCTAGGCGCGGCGAGGCTGGCTGCGGCGAGCCGGGCGTGCTCCCGGTCGAGTCGGAGCCAGCGTCGCTCTGGTTCGTCTTCTTGCTGCCAGGTTTGGGCAGGCTCTGCAGCGGAAGCATGTTTTGCTGCAGGAACAGGTTGGCGCGCGTGAAGATGGCCTGCTGGATCCTTTCCTGGGCTGCGTCGCCTCCAGCTGAGCTGCCTGCTGCGCCAGGATTGGATGGATCGCCGACCGGCAGCGCCCGAATGCGCTTTGCCAGCTCGTCGTAGGTGGCAAAGTTGGCCAGAAGCTGCTTGCGCGCCTGCACGGCGTCGCGCTGCAGCTCAATGTTGGCGCGGATGCTCGAGCCCAGAGCGGCCGTCTGGTCCTGCTTCTGCAAGCCGAGCACCATCTCTTGGAACTCTGGCAGCGACTGCTCGATCTCCTTCTGCACACGCATCAGCGCCTCGTACAGCTTGAGAAAGACCGGCAGCGGCTCGTCGTCCATCATGTACTGTCGTTTGCGAACGATGGTCTTGCAATCGCGGCAGATCCTGACACCTTTGGATTGCACCGCGTTGGGCGCAAGCTTGGACGGAGCTGGAGCGCCTTCCTTGACGTCTTCGATGCGACCTGTGATCGGATCGGCGATAACATTGCCCGAGCACTTTGCCTCCAGGCTTGCGCGCTCTTCGGCCGTGAGGATCTTGCCGGTGCTCGCGCCCATCTGTTCTGCCCACGCGAGCCGGGTGAGGTGCGGCGAAGCACACACGACTCGGCCACAGAGCCGACAGTGATGCTTGCGGACGGTGAAGCTGAAAGCGGTCGAGCAGATGGGACACGCCTTGACCTCTGCGTCGTCCTGCCAATTGACGATGCTCTGTTCGGCTTGACGGATGGCCGGGTCCTCTCCACGCCCACGCGCGCGGAAGGAGGACCACAGATCGGAGCCCCCCTTTCGGATCACACTGCCTGGGTCACGCTTGAGCTCGTCAAGATCCAGGTCGATGAACGAAGATCCAAGCGACTTTTTGGAAGGGCTCAAGCCGAATTTTTCGGTGCCACCAAGAGGCGCAAAGTGGATGGCAATGAGCTTGGCCAGCCTGCGATCCATGCGCTGCTCCTCCATCTCTCCCTCGCCGCGGCCTTTGCGTCTGAGCTCGGCGAAATCGGCGGTGCGGACGCGCACGACGCCTTTGGGCTGGAATCCCGATCTGTACGCTGTCCTCCTACCACTAGCCTCTGTCAAGCCACCGGGAGAAGATGCAGTTGCCGGGGTTGTACCTGCTGCTTGGGCGAGGGCGACGCCTTGCGGGACGGGGATCGGGCCGAGCCGAGATTGAGCTGCGAGAAGCGCGGCGTACGAGTTGACGTGGGAGGGGATCGAACTTCCCGATGCGCCGATGATGGGAGTGGAGGAGCGGCTGCCATGGGGAGTGGCGACGGCGGATGATGATCGGCTGGAACCGGGCTTGCTGGAAGAGGCGCTCGTACTGATAGGCGCGGCGCCGTTGGCGGTTCTGGCGCTGGAACTTGCGTTTCGATCGGAGACCTGGATGCTGGACGTGGAAGGGAGACGGCGATGGGCTTGATTTGCGGTACCAGCATTTGTGGCCGACCTTGCATCGCCGACCTTGACAGATGGTGGCTCCTGATTGAAACCTTGTTGAGCAGCGCCAATGTGCGGACGAGCTGTCGACGAGCTCGAGCCTTGCGCCGGGAGCTTCGAGGACGGTCCATCATCGCTGCGACCCTCGGAGGCTTCAGGTTGAGTAGGGCGCGCACCGAGCTTCGAAGCGACCCGAAGTGGCGGAGGGGGCGCGTCAAGATCACGATGTGGTCGTACAAGCCCAACCTCGCGTGCCAGTGGTGACGTGATGCCTGGCCGGCGAAACGAGGACGGCGTGCGAGTCGACGGGGTAGGAGAAGGTCGCTGACGTGCCTCGGTGGTTGATGAGCTGCGAGCCGGCGTCGATGCAACTTGTGATGGCGCTTCCGTGGCGGCTTTACTTGTTGATGCAACTAGGTCTGTTGAGAGACGCTTGCGCGCCGTCTCGGTTGCGATCGCCGGCATGGCGTCTTGCGAGGCGCTGGAGCCATTCCTCTGGTGGGGCTTTCGCTGATACGGGACGTAGGACAGACGCTTCGACGACGACGGTGTGGATGAACGAGCATCGTCCGCGGCCGACATCCTGACCTTGTCGACCAGGGATGTGAGAGCTGGCTCGGTCTGTCCAGGCCCGACCCGATTGCTGCGCCGCAGACAAAGAGCGGATTGCTATCGGTCGACCTGCCAGCTGGATTCAACGTGGCGGCGGTTGCAGTCGCTTGGAGGTCGCTATCGGATGCGATTGGGGTGATGCAAGCGGACGTCCTGGCTCGTTGGGTGGTTGCCGGAGGATCCTTCGATGCACAAAGAGATGAATGTTGGTCGGCTATGGATTAGCGAGACGTTGTGTAGCTCGCATTTCTCGACTTTCTACGAATGCTGAGGGTCGGGAAGATCCTATCCGCCGAGGTGTGACTGCTGCTGCACAGCTAGGTTGATGGTTGAGATCCGTGCTGCGCGCGACGTGAGAGCACCGCAAGCGCCGCAAGCGCCGCACTGACCCTTGCCCGTCCATGTGGAGTGGAGTGTGTTCGGCTCTGAAATTGTTCTGACTGGAGCCCCTGTAAATCATTTTATTCTACTTAGACTGCAGCTGTGCCGCGCTTTTTCATGACGGCAGCTGGGAAAAGCGGCCGCTTGTTGACTGACGTTGCAGAGAGCGCGGCGGAAATCTGGCTGCATGTGGGTAACACATTTTGTGTTTTGGATGCGGTGTGAGTGCAGCAGCAGCGCTGCTGCTGCTGCCTTGCGACACTCCGCTGGTGGGCTTCGACGGCATAGGAGGCGGCGCAGTTGGGCGGGCCCACCTTGTCACAGCGGCATCCAGCCTTCTGGCCGGAACCCTCAGAACCACAGCACCACCACCACCGCCACCACCACCACCACCGCTGCCTTGCGCTCTTCTACCCTGGCTGGGACCGCGGCCTTAGCGGCCGTTCCGACCAGACACCACTTCACTCAGCTCTGCAGTCGCCTTCGGCTCGTCCGAAGCATGCTCATGGCCTAGCATGGCGTCCCCATCGCCTCGCCGGCTTGCACAGTCGGATGGTCCGCAAGCCGGCCCATCGTCGCTGTCGCATCCGAATCACGTTAGCGCAACCCCACCAACACAGGCAGACGCCAACCAGCCTCCGTTACGCGCTCGGCTGCAGGCGCTCCTTCACCATGCCGATTCTCACGCGGGCTCGAGTCCAGCACTCTCGCCCTCATCCGACACGCCCAGTCATCACCACAGCCAGCCAGATGCACAGTCAAGCGCCACTTCACTCACCAGCGCCGATCAGCCTCTCCCATCCCCAGCGGCTCGCCCGTCGCAATCCCGACGTAAATCGCCAAGAGGCGCCCTGAGTGTGCTGCCTCAGCCTTCGAGACCTGCGTCTGCCACGTCCATACCGTCGAGAGCTACGTCGCCTCAGCCGAAACCAGCATTGCTGCCCCGCTCCATTACCGCCTCAAATCTCGACGAGCGCAGCGCCCACACGCTAGCTCCCGAGCTTCTATCGCGCCGCCCACCGCGATCCTCGAGCCTTGATCCCTCTCATTTGCCCACAGGTATACATGCCGCCTCTTCGGCAATGGACCAAGCAGAGACGCAGTCGTCGCAGCTATCATCGGAAAAAGCCGAGACACGCCAGCGCCCGTCCATCAAGGTGCGCATCGTCACTTGGAACATGCATGATTCCGTGCCCAAGGGCGATCTCGAGGTTCTCTTAGGCAAAGCTGGCCAATTCGTAGCTCCTCAGCACGGGTGGGACGCCAGCTACGATAGTGCAGACGAAGAAGGCGACGACGATTCGCAGCCTGACCGCACACGGAAGGGTGCACACGTTGTGGGTCAGGAGCACGTCCCCAGAGCCGACCGCATCCCGCCTCTGCCACACGATGATTCGCACCCCTACCATGTTCTGGTCATTGCTGGTCAAGAGTGTCCATGGGGAGATGGAAAGCGACTCGCGACCAGTGTCGGTATGGCCGGAGAGCTCGGCGACTTTGGCAAGCAGAAGAACCGCGCCGCCAAAGATAAGGACAAGGACAGTCACAAAGACAAAGCAAAGCCGTTCAAGTCGAAAGAAAAGCAGAGGTCCGGAGACAGCGATGGTGTCCCGAGCGTCGTAGATGGCTCGAACGGAGCACCGTCAGGAGTCGATGCGTCAACTGCCGCGCTCAACAGCAAGGACGGCCCTGCCGGTCCAGGTGACGAATCGGGATTCCCATTCCATTCCACGTCCATGTCGTCAGCGCTGCCCGGAAATCCACTCGCCTCGCCGATGATCGGCGGCACCTCCATGTCTGCTTTCGGCCCAAGCTCGGAATCGCAGAACGACGACAAGCTCGCTGCCTGGCCCAACATCGGTGGCAAGGGATGGAGCGACCTTTGCGAGGATTGGCTTTGCCGCAACCAAGTTGCCAAGAAAGATAGGGAAGGCAAAGACGGCAGGGACAAGTCCTTCATCAGCGGCGCACGCCTCGCTCGCGCACTCTCCCAGTCCGCTTCCAAAAAGGACCTTGCCGTCTCCCGCGAGAATCTGGCAGAACATCACTTGAGCATGCCCATGCCATCCTTTTCTGCTGCTGTCACACCCGAGCTTTCGCGTGCAGCCAGTCCGGTCGGTCTGCAGTTCAGCGCCAGTGCGCCGGGTACTCCCAACCAGAGCACCTTCGAGGGCTTCAATGCCTACGGCGACGCGCAAAACCAAGCCAATCCAGACGCTGCTGCCAATATGGCTAGCGCGGACAAGCGCAGACGTCTCGTACCCAGGCTCAATCTCAATCCGGTCGATCTCGTCAAGAAATCTGCCGCTGCCGCTGCGGGTCGCTCGAGCCCCGCGACCTTCACTGACGCCGAATGCGTCTCGTCACCCGTGCTGCTTTCGCCCACTGCGATACAGGCCACTGCTAGTCATGCTTTGCCCCACGCTTCGCAGGCATCCACCAAGGCGGCCGCCAACAATCCGAGCACGATCCCTGCTTCGACGAGCTCGGGTGCTTTGCTCGCTGTTCCCGGCACACCAACAATGAGCCGCATGAGCTCCTCCCACAGCCTTTCGAAGCTTGCCAAGGCGGCGGCCGACCCAGTCTTCCGTACAGCTTCTCCAGCGGAAAATGGCGTGCTCGTAGAGCCCCCGACGCCGTCCCGTTCGCCTTCGCCATGTCCCACCGACCAAGAGGCTCTTCGGGACGGCCTCGTTTCTCGCCAGACCCCGTCGCCAGCCCCATCATCCCTGGCCAGCCACGCTGCAGAGACCGGCCAGAATCAGAAGTTACCCGAAAAGGCTTCTGCAGACCCGATACCGAAGGCTTTGGGACCCTACGAGCTCGTCATCAAGGAGCGTATGATGGGGTGCTACATGGCCGTGTACGTCTGGCGTGGCTGCAAGGATCGTGTGCGCGGCGCGTCTCGGTCTCACGTCAAGTCGGGTCTGCTCGCCGGTCGCGTTGGCAACAAAGGCGGCGTCGGCATCTCGCTCAAACTCGGCACCACACGACTGCTGTTTGTCAATGCGCATCTCGCTGCACACGAGGACAAGGTGGCACTCCGCCTCGCCAACGTCGCCAAGATCAAGGCCGCCCTCAAGGTCGACTCGTTCTTGCCGCCCACGGATCCTCGTTCTAAGCTCGAGGATATCACCGAGCAGTTCGATCACACTTTTTGGTTCGGCGATCTCAACTTCCGCATCGACATCTCTCGTCAGCATGCCGATTGGCTCATGATGAACAAGAAGTACGATCAAGCGCTCGCCTTCGACCAGCTTGGCAAGGTGCTCAAAGATGGAGACGCTTTCAGAGGCTTCAAGGAGGCTTCAATCAACTTTCCTCCAACGTACAAATACGATGTACTCAAGACGCTCAAGATCAAGCGCAACAAGACGCTCACGTCGATTCGGAGCGGCGTCGACATACCGGGTGCTGGCAACCTGGCTGGCACGACCAAATCCACGGGCTTCGACCTCGCCGGAACACCGATTGGCGAGGTGATTCCTGAAGAGGGTGCTATCGGCCCAGAGGCACCTGGCAGGCTTGGAGGCGACGACACTGACGACGCCAGCTTCTCCTGCATCGCACCGGGTGACCCTGAGCCCTTCTCATCGCAGGACGAATCGGCGCGCACCATCCCCATTGCAGGCAGATCAGACCCCGCCGTTGCAGCCATGGAAACGGTCGACCTGCAGGATCCGGACCGCTCGGACGAAGATCGCTTTTCCATCGCTTCATCCTCGGCGTTCGGTTCGGTTGCCTCTTCGTCAGGCTTTGCTCGTGCTTTCAAGCACGAGGAAGCGCGTGTATCACAGGGCGTCGATCCGGCACTGGTACGCGAGCGCGAGCTCGAGCTCGAGCGGCAGAGACAGCTGGCAGAGAACACGAGTGCAGCGCAGGGACCTCGCTTCTTTTCGCAGGGCGCTGCGATCAAGGCCAAGTTTAAGATCATGGACATAGTCAGGAATGCGGCCAACTCGAATCTTAAGGACAAGCTTGGCGGAGCTGCGTCTGCAGACGGCCAGCCCGGCGGCAAGAAGAAGTGGCTCAACGTCCTCACCGAGTCGCCTAGGAAGATCCCCATGCCCGCCTCGTTCTCGAGCGACAACACGTCGATCGTCGACTCGGTCATGTCGATGCCTTCGCCCACGACCGACTACTCTGCCTCCTTCACCGATCACAACGATCTGCAGCGTGGAGGAGCGAGGAGGGGTAGCCTTCTGTCGAACGACGGCCAGCTCAGCAGCGTCGGGCATGGCGAAATCGGCACGCCTCGCAGAGGCTCGAGTGGCGATGTGCAGACGCCGTCCAGCGAGCACTCTGTGGCGTTCACGGGCGCATTGCCGCGTCGATCTTCGGTGCAGCTGGCGCGGGCATCGGCGCAGGCTCTGGCGGCGAAAGCGCAGCGGGAGGCCAAGTACCCGCATCTGACGGGCGCCACCGCCGAGCAGATTGACTTCTTGGAGGCGCAGCCGTATGACACGAGTGCCAAGCAGCGAGTGCCGTCGTGGTGCGATCGTGTGCTGTTTCGATCCACTGTGCCGCTGGACGACGAGGATGCGGACGAGAGCGGCGACGCAAGCGCCAAGGCGGATGCACACGAGGCCAGGCTTGGCTCGAGGGTGGGCAGCGCGCTGTCGAATGCTCTCATCACACCGTTGCGTCAGGCGGCCGAACGGCGCCAGCAGCTGCATGCGCAGAGGAGCATGTCGAGCGGCCTGATTGCCGCCGTTGCCGGCAGCACCACCATCGCGTTTGCGCAAGATCACAAAGTGCCCGCCGAGGCCAGCCTTGTGGATCCGGCGGCTAGGAAAGCGTCGATGGCGCGGCGGGATCGCTCCAACTCGGTCAGGGAAGCTGCGGCACCACTCGAGTCGAGTCCGCGCGCCGAGACGCGGACGCTGGCAGGGGGCGGGG